ACACCTAATCATACCAATCTCATAAAAGGTTTTTCGTCTATTTCTCGATAAAATAAAACTGCATATAAGGTCGAACATTTTTAGTTCGTTTATGCGCGTCTTCCGACGGAATTGGCTGAAAATCGGCAGGTATGTTCCAGTATACCTCCTACGAGAAAGTGTGTTGGGTTTGGTTTAATTTCGCTTTCGTTTCAAAGTTATGGCCTCTTTAGTACACGGAAACGTCCGCATTGAAAATATCAAACTTTACGAGGGTGTAGAAAAAAAAAAACACTTGGAAAATCGCCGACACCCTTTTTGAGGGTGATGTGTGAGAAAACAGTCCCGATGTTAATCGCGCCGCTCCGATAATTCACGCGCGCAAGCGAACCAGTCTAAGCTAAGCAGCGTTTCTGGGTATTTCTTTTAATATCACTGCGACAATAAACTTTTAAGAAAATTTCAAAGATATGATTGTACTCTACAACTATTAAGCTTTCAGAAAATGTATAGGTTGATGGGGTTTCCTTCAAAAGCGCCGGCGTAAGAGCGCAATTTCCAAACACTGTCAATCCACCTACCATGATACCTTAACTTGCGCCGAAATTTACCCTTTGCACGCAGTTCCTCCTTCTCCTCCAGAATATAACCAAAAAACATGCGACCTTGATGAGCTCTAAGTCTGAAGACAAGCAATAGACTGCAAGGCTGACACTACGTGAAAAACGTTTCGAGACACCAACATGACAAGAACCGATAAAGTAGGATCGCAACAATGGACAGCTGTTTCGCCCTTCTTGGGGCTCGTCAGCACTGTGTAGCGAAGATATATAACGCCAGCCAGCCAACGCACATCAACTGCAAAATGACCCGTGCACTATATCAAGTTCCGTACTTTGAACTCACTTGCGCCCCTAAACACGCGTTGCCACATCACGTGTTTCGGGGCGCAAGGAGACAAAGTGTCAAGATTGGTGTCTCGCAGCGTTTATCGCATGCGGTCCCTTGCAGTTTCTGGTTTCTCATCTAAGTCTGAGCCCGCGATATGGTCACGTGATACTGGTCAGTGGATACCTTGCTTCGACAACTGTCAATTAACCATGATATGGATGCTAAATATCAAAGATGTAACTATGGCAATGGTGCTACTATCTTATTTGCAAGGTATTGGCAGGGGTTTCAATAACATTAGTTATAAGCGGCCACTGAAGGTGTAATAGG